ATGTGTGTGTCTGTATACATATGTATACATAGAGTGTGTCATTTAAATCATTATTCCCTCGAATATCTACGAAATTGTTGATAATATAATAAAAAACTAAAATATGAAAAATGGAAATAGAAATAAAATGATTTTTAAAGGGCAGATATTCAAGGATATTAATTTAAATGGAAGAATTAGCATACGTATGTATATGTATGTATATAGAGAATGCACAAGTTACGCTTATGCGAGAGAACATCATCGTTCTAAGATATCATCTAAAAATGACTACATCATAACATTCATTCTCTTTAAATTCGCGAATCGAATTGTTTTAATTTTCAATTGACTCTTCGCTTTCAAGAAGCTATTACTTGGGATGATTGGAACAATCATGCGAATTCATGTACGACAAATAAAGAAATTGTTCCGTAGTGACAATCCATCATCATCGTATTCGTTTCATTATCTTCACAGTCGATACATCTACACATAAGTGTTCTTCTTCTCTCTTCTTTTTTTTTATTATATATTTTTTTTTTCTTTTTTTCTCTTGTTGACTAATAATCATAATACGCTTTAACAAAAGTATTCTCTCACATTGTACGTATATAAATATCATAGAGTTAGAAGTGCACCAAGCGACAAAAATATTTTTTGGGCGATATTATCATTATCGACGACGAAATTACGTGATATTTTCGTATCTCTATATACATTTTAGGCCCTTCGAGAAAATCTCAAATTTTGCCAATAATTTCTGGTGTTCATTTTTTCTTCTTTCTTTTATTCTTTTCATTATTCAAACATGTCAAACTCGTTTTAATTCAAACTTTGTAACGTTAACTCCTTTATAACTCAGTATTAACTTTTTAAAATTTTGCAACAAATTTTAAACTCGTTTTGTAATCTTTTTTACTTTCTTTTTTTTCTTTTTTCTTTTTTACGTACACGTACGTAACTACTGTAACAAAGTTTTTTTGACAAATGCTGTTGAGTACATATATATAGTTTTCAAAATTGTCACGTGCCTCAAAATTAATTTATAAATTGGCAAACAGATCAGATTACTTTTTCGTTCGTTTCTTTTTCTGTCGTTCATTTTTCGTCTCATAATGTTAGAAAGAAAATATTTTCTCTCTCTCTCTCTCTCTCTCTTTCTCTTTCTCTTCCTTTGTAATATAATAGTAGTAGTAATAGTAATAGTAGTAGTATTAATACTTCAGTGCGTCTTGTGCGAGGTGTATGTATGTACGTATGCATGTAAATTCGGCAGAGCAAAAGAGATATTTTGCTAGTCGTTTATTTATTTATTTACTTATTCTTATCTCATAAAATGCGCGATATATCGAAAGTAGTATGAAAAAGCTTACGATGGCAAATATAAAGCAATACAAATGCAATTCTTACGAAGATGTTAAAAATTCTCTTTTTCGAAATATCATCAAATCTATGTATGTATGTATATATGTATCTATGTGCGTATATATGTATGTATTTATATACGTATGTATGTATGTATGTATGTATGTATGTATGTATGTATGTATGTATGTATGTATGTATGTATGTATGTATGTATGTATCTATGTGCGTATGTATGTATGTATTTATATACGTATGTATGTATATATGTATTCATGTACTGTAAGAAATTGATTCGGAAATTTAACAAATCGCGACGTAAGATCTTACAAGATTATAATCGTAGCTAATAATAAAATGTAAATGCCTAATCAAAATTCGATGAAGCCGATCAGCCTTCATGATTTTTTATCTCTATTTCAAAATCAATTTTCCTTACTTTGTGTGCCGATTGACGATATCGACACAACTATCACAATTAATTTTATCTTTAGAGTAAGAAAGACCAAGAAGGAGGAATCTTTTGCCATAGAAATTTTTTTTCTTATATATCTCTGCCATTTTTAAATTAATAATTTTATATTGTTAATCCTTATTTCTTTCTTTCTTTTTTTCTTCTTCCTCCTCTTAAGCATTTTTAATTAGATTTCATTTGTGAGAAAAATAATTAAATATAAAGAGTACCCACACATTTTCTTAATTATTATCTGTTGAAAGTTAATAATTAGTATGCACTATACATTTTTTAAATTTGGCTCGAAATTAAAGCATCGAATTGATATAATTACTTTTCCACTACTTGTTGCATATTACGAATATAAATGCAGGCTCCTTAATCCTTCTTCTCTAAGATTTTGATCGATTTTCTGGATCAATAAAGGCTCTGAATCACGAGCATAAACGATCTCTAAACTCTTTCGATATTCAGCACTGTCCAATCGTACGATTCCTCGAAGAAAGTATCATACTTTCTATATGTCTCTTCTTTTTCTTTTTTTACCTCTTTGTTTCTCTTTTTAGATTTATAAGTAGATATTTCTTTCTATATTAATATCATAATTTAAATAGTCTTCGCGATAAGTTTTAGCATATAGCTTCGATGTTTAATAAGGAAATTTGAGTTGGCGACGATCCTAAGCAATTCGCCATAGTGACAGCACGATTTAGATTAAAATGTGAACGTTCGTATCATTCGAACGATTATTATTATTATTATTATTATATTATTATTATTATTACATACAAGAGCGGTAACTTCAAAGTTACACACATCTTATGTTTTTTTTTTCCTTTTTGTTTTGCTTAGCCTCTTTATACGATTCGTCGTACGTTATACGTGTATTTATCTGTGGTGTACGTGTAAGTGTATATGGTATATGTGCAGAATTTTTTTTTCCTTTTTTAAGATAATAGTAGCAACGATTTGAATTCGTTAGCCATTATTCTTATCTGCTTTCACTCTCTCTCTCGCTCTCTCTCTCTTTCTCTCTCGCTCGTTCTCTCTCTTTTTCTTATTTTCTTTTTTACATACACGTTTACTCCTATAAGTCCTTATTTTTCCAACTCTTTCATATATATATGTATATCTATATATATATGTATGTATGTCTATATATATAAGGATCATAAGAGTAACGTAACTACGCATTTATTCTCATAGGTAGAAGCGAATAAAACAGATGTTCAAGAACAAATACTTCCTTTGCTTCCAGCTTGAAATTTCGGTGACCAATGAGCGAATTCCTCCATTCCTTTTTTATTTTTTCCTTTTCATTCTTTAATTTCTGCAAGATATGATTAACAGGTGCATCTCCAAGCGTCACCCTGTTGAGACGGTGATTGAGCTTTGATCACACTGTCGGCACCTTCCCTTTCCGAAGCTTCGAACAGACTAGCCTGAAAATCAGTAATTGTTAGATCATTTTATTTATTAATCAGGAATAACGAATCGACTCAGCGCAAATATTTCATTTATTTTCTGAATACAATGAATAAATCGTTTGGTTCCTAGTCCCATCAAAAAAAAAAAATAAATAAATAAATAAAATAAAATAAAAAAAACCATACATATGTCTGAATTCTTCATTTAATGATTCATTAATTTATTGAAAGTTAAGTAAAGTTCATCGATGGAAAATCTTTTCCGCTTAAAACATTTTCTCCGATTAAATAAGGAAAATGAGAAAGATTAAAGGGAACTTACTCGACGTCCTCGTTGTTCTCGTATTCTCCTGGCTAAGGTTAAAAATGCTTCCTCGATATTTATGTTCTCCTTACAGGATACCTCGAAAAAGGGCATATCGAAATTTTCCGCTATTTTCTGACCTCTCTCGGCATCTACGGCTCTATGTGCAGTTGCGTCGCATTTATTGGCCGCCAATACCTTTACTACATCTGGTGAGGCATTCTAAGATGAGAAGAAAAACCGCCAAAAAAAAAAAAAAAAAAAAAAAGAAAAAAAAGAAATGAAAGAAATTTCGTTAGTAAAATATTTTACTATGCCGAGTCGAAGTTCAAAGATAACTCATTATAAAATTAATTAATCGATTTTAAGTCGAATAATTAAAAACACGAAAGTAATATGGTAATTTCTTGTTTGTTCTTACTTCTTGAATATTTCGAAGCCAGTAAGATAGATGATTGAAACTGTCCAAACTGGTGACATCGTACATTAGCAAAATACCCATAGCACCGCGGTAATATGCCGTTGTTAGAGTTCTAAACCGTTCCTGTCCGGCGGTATCCCTTTAAAAGAGAGAGAAAGAAAGAAAGAGAGAGAGAGAGAGAGAGAGAGAGAGAGAAAGAGAGAAAGAGAAAAAAAATATTTTTATTAAAGTACATATATCTATATATATTATTTATTTAACAGCAAATTTATCGCTGTCGTTCGATAGAAAACCGATAGCGTGTACGCGTGTTAGAAATAAGTAGTAATGCCTCGTATATGTCAGACCAGATGTCGTCCAACCATAGCGGTCCATTTCTACTTCTATCGATAATAAAACTTCAATGATACTATCTTTCAAACTTTACGATCACGTATATAATACGATCTGTATTTTTTATGGTGTCTTTTTTCTTTCTATCTTTTTTCTTTTATATTGTTTTTTCATTTTGTTCTTTTTCTTGTTTTTTTTCTTTTCTTTTTTCTTTTTTTTTTCTTTTTTCTTTCTTTGTAATGAATATTGCAATCAATACCATGATCGAGTTTACTCACCAAATTTGTAATTTAATTGGTGTACCATCCAAGTTGATAATCTTCTGTTTGAAATCGATACCTGTGGATATTTTCTTTGCTTTTGTTATTTGCGATTAATTTTAATAACAAGCGTACAGATAACGCATGTGTGTGTGTGTGTGTGCGTGCGTGCGTGTGTATACACTTTAAGTAAATCGATCGATTGAATTTTATCGAGAATAAATTATTGTATATAATCCTTTAGAAAAGAAAAGAGAGTCCCTCGTGTAAAAAAATATGGAAAGGAAGACTTACTGTCTCAAAGGATATAATATTACATCCAGAAACCTCTTTGGGAGATCTCAAATATAGGAGTAGTCTCTCGAGAAATATGAGATTGCCTGAATAGGCGTAAGCGTAACAGCTGCGACTAAAACGAGGGTTGAATGGCGAGACGACATTCGAAAGATAATCAGCTGATCGTCGGGAAAAGTTTTATTCGTCGAATAGATAACGTTATAACGATCGTCGTCGTATACGTTTTATTCTTTAATTTCGAAAGTTCTTTGCAATATCATGTATATCTATATACAGAGAGAAAGAGAGAGAGAGAGAGAGAGAATGAAATTATAAACGAATAAAAAAAAAAATAAATAAAAAGCCGGTATCTAAGATTAAAAATGTAACGAGAATGAAAAAATAAAACGAACGTCTACTTCATATAATATTGTTCAAAAGTTTAAAGTCCATATCTCTTAGAAAAATTCATATTTATGGATAAGAAAAAGAAGAGATAAAAAGAAAAAATACCAGGATTAGTTGTTTATAAAAGCGAATCCTTTGCCGAGGTCATAATTTTGAAAGTATTCAGGGATGATCGAAGGATCGTCACTTTTCGTAGAATTATAACAATTGAATTTGTTCAAAATGTTGATTAAATTTGAAACTGTTGTATTCTATTCACATAGGAATTAACGAGAGACACATTGAAGTCACTTGGTCAATGTAAAAAAAAGAATGAAGAATCCGGGTGTTGCAAGTATTGTTGCGAATGTTTTAAACTTAAACTCCTTCCTATCTCTCTCTCTCTCTCTCTCTCTCTCTCCTCTCTCTCTCTCTCTCTCTCTCTCTCTCTCTCACCTATCGTCGATATATAAGTATCGTAGTATCTCTCGTCACAATAACGATGAACGATGCAAGTCTTGCCGACGTTCGAATCGCCCAACACGAGGACTTTGTAGGTGGCTGCAAAATCGAGCGCCATGTTTACTGCCGAATCGCTTTTGAACTGTTGTTGGGTCGACAACAGAGTCGTCGGCCTAGGGTTGTCCCATGAGCGTTCTCACTCAGAGGGGGTTGGAGGATCGATTCCGAGCCTGCGCATCTTTTCCTATGCTTTTAAAGGAGACTTCACAATTTCTATCAACCTTACTTACGATCATGCGCGATACTGTATCTGTGTGTAGTTTTTTTGATAGGCTTTATCATCGTCTTTAGTCCTTCGAAAACGTAGAGAACGAAGATTGTACTACCTTCCTCATCGTATATGGAGGACAACGATATATATGTATATGTGTATATATATATATATATAATATATATATATATATTAGGTTGGAAACTATGAAACGGGCGTTGAATGAAAATAAAAAACTAAACAAAAACGCCCGTTTCATAGTTTCCAACCTAATATATATAAATTTTTATGAATCTAAGACCTCAATCGATTGTCTTAAAAGCTTCGTAGTGACAAAGAGCTTATGTTTAAAATTCGAAGACCCTAATGAACTTGATGATACAATATTCTGTAGTATTCAATAATTATAGTTTCGTGCAAATGAAATTTTTGTATTTAATTAATTTTATATTAATATAGGAAATGTAATAAAAATATTATTACATTTAGGAAATATTATTATGGAAAATGTAATAAGAGATATTTAATGAAACGATTTATGTATATATCAGATTGATTTATCATTAAAAAATTTTTGTTTAAAAAAACGATGATCTACTTTTGAAGATATTCTTAAGTGAAACTGTGGTAACTTTTGCGTGACCTCACTAATTGTATTCACAAGATCCTAGGTCAAGTTTTCTCTCAGAATCGAATAAGATTCCTCGAGTTCGAATCACTTCGTGTTCTTACTCATTTTATTTTTTTAAAGGGTAGCATTCCTCTATTCATCTACGATCTAATCTAATATGCAAATTAAACATATATTTTTTTCTATTTATTATTATAAATCAAACATCTATAAAAAATGAGCAATATAAACATTGCACAACATTTTGTATAATTCGTAAGATTTTTAACGCATGATATTGTTATACAAAAAATTGCCAATTTTATAAATCAATTTTTTTCGTGTATAACAAAAAATAATACTTTAGAAATATATTCTCTAATATAATAATACTATATAATGAAATTCCTTTTCATATTTCACTTTCTCTTAAAGATTCAACATTTTTCATTTAAATGCTTTATCCTTTCCTATTGAAATCTTTTTTACAGTTTCATTTTCTATACTATGAGATATTTTTTTCATAAGATTCTATTTTAATAATAATTACAATAACAACATTAGAATATTTATTTCATTTGTTAGCTCTCAGTGTCAATATATATATTGACACTTATATATATTTTCTAGAGATACCTATGTGGATTAATCAATTAAATATCACGTACAATTGTTTTCAAATAATATTATAATATAATAATACAATAATAAAAAGAAATTAATAGGATTATAATCGTAAATGAATTTTGTAAAGTTATCACGAAAAATGTATTCACCGTTTATAGATGAATATAAAGAATTAAATATTTAATTATTTTTTTAATATGGTGAAAGCTATTTATCAGTAAAAATCTTATTATTTATGATAAAATGTATGACTTATAATTTTTATACTTTTCATTACAAAAATTTCTTTTTTTACTTCACGTTTGTTGCATTATATTTCATTTTATTCTTGCCTTGGCACTTATATATAAGACAAACTTATATTATCATTCTGGCACTCAATATACCGACAATGAGTAACAGTAACCAATATAGTTACTGCACAGTTGTTGTTAGGCACTTCAAATATTAAGCCTTTTTTATTAAATATTATTTTCAATAAAATGCCAATTATACCGTGTTCACTTTGAATTTACTCTATTTTCTTATCTTCAACAACATATTAAATGGATATGTGTTGATATGTCATCCCTTGATATCATTTTTAAATTGACAATTTTGTCCTTTTAAAATTATGATTATACTAATTATTATAAATATAGACACACTTATCGTGCTATAAATACATCCATAATTTTACAAACAATTTCACTGCTCATTCTAGATGTGTCTACAAAACAGCACACTGCCAAATTTTAATATTTAACTATTATTTAAGATATATAGATGGGGCGAAATATTATAAAAATACTAACAATGTGAGGTAAATTCTTGTGGTAACTCTAAACACTAAGATATTTTTTAACGCAATCGTATTTGTCATATTATATCCATTTAACTACATTTATAGCCATTTCATAAGTTATCTTTTATTTCAAGTTAAAAGATATTGTACTAATTAACTAAGAAATGTTTTTTTTTTAAATTTGTTATATAAAATATTCAGACCATATTTAAATTAGAAAAATTCTATATAAATAATTATGATATGCTAAAAGGATAAAAACACAATCTTTGGAAGTCACATGTTGTGTCATTTATATTTCTACTAAACTATATTTCACTTATATTTCTACTAAACTAAAAAGCGTTTATCTATATACTACTTAAAAAAAAAAAAAAATAAATTAATATAGCAATTTGTACTATTGAGATAAACAAAATATTTCAAATTATTTTGATTTTAAGTCTTTGGATGTCTTTTCTACATATCCTACATACATACTATTAAAACTACACTGTAAAATTTCAGTCAAACATCAAAAATATGATATTTTCAATGATATAAGTAATAGTATTACTTTAACCATTACTTGAATGTTCACAATTAGTGCCATTACTTTCAATTAAAACATTAAAGCTATGAATTTTTGAAAAGCCCTTTTAAAAAACAATGAAAACATATAAACAATTAAGGTATTATTCCTAACTTTTAGGACACTACCATGTTTTGAAGTTTGATTTACCATGTTATAAAATGGCACAAACACACAGTCCTATTAATATCATGCCTAACATATAAGCAAGATCTCTTCTAATGCTAGGATCTCGTGTACTAGATCCTGGAAGATTATAAGCATTCTTCCACTGCATGGACCACAGAGGAACAGCAACATGAAGAATATCAGGGATCATAAATCCCAAATCTCGTACAACCTATTCCAATTACATTATATCATGGGTATAAAATTCCCACATTAATAGTGCAAGTTTCCTTTAATATTGTACTATTTTTTGACATCTACCAAATCTAAGTGTATATATTTAAAAACATATCAATTTACCTGATGAGCATATCCTTCTCCTCTTACAACATTTGCAACAAACTGATCCCAACCACCAGCTACAATGTGTAAAATTGCAATTGCAATTATTCCAAATGCTTTTCTATGAGTTATAAGATTTTTTTTGTCTGCCAAGTGAACAACCAGGAAGGTTGATATTAACTCAGTGATAGAAAAAAATAGTTGATGATACCACTGAGAGTAGAAATCGTCGTTCCAATAATTAATATACACCCACCATGAGTAATAATGTGAGAAAACAGCAGTCGAAAAAAGTAACATCATACTAAGTCTGAGGCGCTGTTGAAACGCCAACCATATCAAGTACTTAACTGTTTCATAGAAAGTAACAATTCCAATAACTATGGTTATCCATATTTTTAAACTATTCATAGTGGCATTAAAGTACATATGTTTATAAGAGGCAATCCCTGATTCATAAGATCCTACAATAAAATGATATTATAGAGTACAAAATAAAAATAATTTTCAATAAAGTCTTACCTTTAAATACTGTATCCCAGCACGAACACGAACAATATTGTTTATCAACATCACGAGCATACTCTTGCCAGAAATAATATAAAAAAGCTATGTGTAAAGGAGGTATCATTAAAGGTGCCAAAATTCCTATGGCCTTTGAACTACACAATACAAAATTTGTATATAACAGACGTTTAAGCATCTTTGAGACACCCATAAGTGTAATTTGATAAAATCTTTGTTTGACATTAAATTATACAAGTTATCATCAGCAAATTTGATTTTGCATCATAATCAAAATTTTTAATGCACACCGAGCATTAGATAATTATATATTATGTAATAAATATCATAGAATCAAATCTCAGATATATGTATTAGAACACAAATATATACAATCAATTAAAATAAGGCTAAACAATATGTTTTATTTGTACATTATACATATTAATAATGTACCACTTAAGCTTGCCTGTAGAAGTTCCTTCAACGAACGCTATCTACGAGATAACATCAAATCCGTTCCAAGAATAATCCACATTTTTGTGCATTGCACGTATTATTTATAGCCACGTTCGTCGAGCATTAAAATCGTCTTCATAATACAGCCAATTTCATTACTTCATGATTAACTAATTATAAAATTATAGCCATGTGAAAAATTTTAGTTTCACATTAATCGTATTAAAGAATTATTTACTTCGTCATTTTCTTCAATATTAATAATAATTCAATTTCTTTTCAAGTAGAAGTACTTGGAAAAAGGAATCATAATTGATTTTATAAATTTTATTCGTTTCAATCACACTGTACATATTGTTATACGACATGGAAGGCTCTACAAATTTTCACCCCTATTTTATCTATTATCTTTTGTCGATATATTTATTGTCGTGTAAAGAACCCCGAATGTTCTATCATGTTTATTATCATTTATTGAATCCCTTAGAAATTGACACAATCACGATCTTATGGATCCAGGTCAAGGAATAGACGAATTTTCGCCGCGATTTTCGTATCCTTTATTTCGAAAAATATTACTACGAAGATCACTTGTGTGACAAGAGATGGCGCAAAAATTCAAATTTGTTGATAATCTAAATTTAAAAATTTTTCATTCTTCGTGCTCGAACTTCACGTAAAAATTTTAATCAAAATCATGCGGGATTCAGTGTATTGAACTTTTAATAAGATTCATGATCCATCCATGGTTTTATTACTTCTTAATACAAATACACAATAAAAGTTAAACGGGTCGAGATTAATTAACACAAGTTAAACGAAGATCTATTGTAAAGGTAAGATCAACGTGACGTATTAATTTAATCATCGATTTATTGTAAAATTAGAAATTCTCGAATAAACAATTCTTTTTATCAGAAATGAATACATTGCAAGAAATTAATAAATTTTTTTTTTTAGCAATAAAGTTCCTTATACGTAATAAACATTTTTTTTTATTTAATAACCGATAAGACGAGAAAAAAAACCCGTTTATACGTATAAAATAAGAAATATAAAAGAAAAAAGAATATTAAACTTACAAAATACTTATATCTTAAATAATGACCGAATATAGCGTATACGATTCGTGAAAAATTTTTTTAATACGACAGTAAAATATTACTGTTTTTTTTTTCTTTTTTTTTCTATTAAGTAATAAAATATAAATAACTAATTTCTTTTTTATGATGCAAAATATATAACACGAAATGCAATAATAACACGTATATTCGCCTATTTCGAGATAATATAATTAAATCATGAAAGAGAGCATATGCATGGCAAATCACATTTTATTTTCATTTCTGAAATATAGTTCGATTTTTTTGAAATTTTATACTAAGATGAGAATGGTGATTATCATAATGTCGTATTCCAGTAACAATACGATTTAATAATATTTAATAGGTTTGCAGTATTCAGTAATGATAGGAAGATTGAGAGTCGGGTGTATTATAAAATACAAAATGATTTAGTCTTATACAATTTACGTAAATAACGTAGATAATTTCTTGTTTTGTTCGGATTTTTTTTGTTTTTTTTTCCTTTTTCTTTTTTTTCCTCCTTTAAATCAAGTAAAATAGTGATTTCCGAATGTATTATATTTTACTGCGAAATATGAATTATGTATGGACAATCAATGTGATATAAGTTTGTGTTTATATATTATACTTTTACACATATTTCAAGTCTGCATTGTTCCACAAGTTGTCTTCTCGTCTTAATGAAGAATATGCACATATTATTTGAAAATTAATGAATTTCTCTTACCCTTAGTTACTACGTTCTGTACCAGAGAAATTGTTATAAGAAATTTTGGATTATTATTTACATTTACTAATGACTTTAAATGACTAATTCTGATTTAACCCTAGGACAGACGTATTCAAACTTTGAAAAAACATCTTAATGGCAATGACATTTGTGTATCGACATTATGATTCTTTTTCTTTTCTTTTTTTTTCTTAAAAGATTTACGATCAAAATTAATTAAAATAAATACTATTATATATATATATATATATATATATATATATATATATATATATATATATATACATAGATAGATAGATATATGTAATACTAACACAAAGAGAAAAATATCAAATGATTAGTAACAATATATCTATGTACTCGTTAAAATTATAATTCTGTAAGAAATATCATTGAGAAAAATACTTCAATTTTATCCATATTCTGTAACCAGAATATCTTGGATATATAAAAACATTGAACTATTGATTACTTGCACACAACATATAACATAATGATCAATCAATAATTTTAGCAATCATTGTGAAATATTAACGAAATGTGATGTATATAAATAATGATTATTATGATAATATTATTAGGCATAATTATTTTCATTTTTCGAAGTAGAGCACCTCTTTTCTCTAGAGTAAAAAGAACAATATCATTGTTTTATATATTTATTGCGAAACAGTGAATAAAAAAAGTTGCATTCAATTCCAGCATATATATATAAAATTGTTGAGATATTCTGTACAAATACACGTATCGTGTGCCACAAAAATGGTTGCACACTTTAGAGCAAATTACAAATTGCACTCTACGTTATACAATTAATCGCTTTTAATACGCGCATGATACGTTAATGATGGTATGCCTGGACAGTCCTAGGGTTAAATAAATTTATAATTGACGTAACTATTTTGCATTTCTGAAACCTGCTCAGATTGAATTAGATATGTAGAAAGAGAGTGTACCGAACAGTAGTCACATAAGGATTGTTTTGTAATGAGAGAATTAAATGAATCACAAAAATACCTATATTTATATTCATAGGTAATCAATAAAATCTGAGCCTATTTTATTTAATTCTTTTTTTTTTTTTCTTTTTATGTATCTCCAAATAATAGATAATTATAATTTAGCAGTCTTTACACACATTATTCTCTTTTATGAAATTGACAACAAAAGCTAACAATAATGATAACACATTATGCAAGTACATGAAGGTTAAAAAGAGAAGTTTTGATAATGCGATAAAAATAATATAACTTTTTTTCAATGGCATTCCTTTGCACTTGTCTAAAGCATATCAAACATTCTCTTTGATTACACTGTTTCATTTTCGTAATTATTTCTCAATTCTGTGTTTTATCTTTTAAAAATATATACAGAAGCGCGTATTCAATGTCATAATTCTAAGATACATCTAATGCTTAGATTAGAATACTCTTAAAATGGTGTACTAATCTCAGCTATACGCCAAAATATAAGTAAAGTGTTCTTAAACTAGTAAAGTACAAATTAGTTTCGTGTTGTACACATTTTAATTGGCTAATATATTTATATGTATCTTAACTCTCTAGTTAACCTTCTTGTATGTGTAGCACACATTGCCACGCATTCTAAGACATGAACTTCCTAATAAGCTGGTTAAAAGAGAGCATAGACCAGTGTGCCAGGTACTTATGTGTTAACATTTTTTACTGTTATAGCTAAATAGATATTATAATATTAGAAAGTATATTACTATTGATCTATTGTACTTAACAAACTGTTTGCCCTGCTCCTTATATTTTATTGAGTTTCTGATTTTTCAGACCTGTAGCTATAAAATTTTTCTGCAAATTCTTTTGTAGTAGAAAGCAAAAAATAAATTGAGCTTCCTCGGTGTAGCTATGTCTGTATATTCTACAGAATAATTTAAACCATCTCATAAAGGACTTTAGGTACGCTTATTTCTATCTTGATATTTCAATGATCCATTCAATGCACAGTTAATGTTGAATAAAAATTTCATAAAAATGAATACATCACTAAGTCCAATTTTTTTTTAACTTTATATCCTTTCCTTCTCTCTATTACTTTTTTTTGCAGTCCAGTTCAGATACATGTTAAAAGTTCTGTTTATAGTAAATTTTTACAATCATGAAATTATATATATATATATATATATATATATATATATATATATATATATACATATAAATCGGATATATATATATATACACATTCGAATCACTCCTTTCTATGATTAAACTTATTTCTCCGGTTATTCTCATGAATGGCTCAATCAGGATTCTCATTATTACAACACATGCATGCTGTTGTCCTTATAAAATGCAGATTTTATATATCTTCTTACTAAGATCCACGTTTATACAAAAAAAAAAAAAAAAATAAAAAAAAAAAAATAAAAAAGAAAAAATAAAAAAAATAAAAAATAAAAAAAAAAATAAAAAATAAAAAAAAATTAAAAAAATAAAAAAAAATAAAAAAAATAAAAAAAATAAAGAAAAAATAAAAAAAAAATAAAAAAAAGTAAAAGAACTTATCCACGCGCTACACTAGTACATACTCATTCACCCCCTATACACACACACGCGCGCGCACACACACGCACGCACACCAGTGTCATGAAAAGGAGTCATTTTGTATGCACATCTGATACAATACCGATTAAAGTATTTTTTCCTTTTACTTTAATCAGTCTGCAACGTTATCACTTTCTCATTTTTCTTCTTTATTACACCCACCCTATATCGTTGGGTTTGTTTTATCATACATGCATCGATTTCTCAATACATGTTTTATTGATAGTACATATACTGATTATAATCTAACATAATACAATTTAAATAAAAAAAATTGCATAGCCCAATGGTAATACATTACCAAAAGACATAGACACGTATAAAACTTTTTCTAGTGCAAATAAAATTTTTAGATACTGGTAATTTTTAATTACAAACGCAATTTGCAATAGCACTATTCTTACTTCGTAAAATATTTATCAGAAATAAAAAAGAAAAAAAAAAGAAATTAAAAAAGTACAAACTTTTATATATAATATAGCATAAATTTTGATAGTAACAAAACTATATACTTTGTCTTAAGATGATATTGAACTCTACTAATACTTAAAAAGAAACAAAAGGAGTTTAACAGTACTTGATTTTCAAGCTCTCCATATGATATTATTAATCATAATAATTAATAATAATGAATAAAATTAATAATAATGATGTTAATAATAATGATAATTTGAATATCTTCAGTATACAATTAATAATACAAAACCATACAAAATTCTAATATATGACACTGAATTATCTTGGATCGTTTAAAATGATACATGTATAAATGAGATAAATCATTGTAGGTGGGTGTGAATGTACATATGTATGCATACATACCCCTTTCTCTGTATCTGTATAATTTTGCTTTCTCCAGCAATTAAATTTAATACCTTCCGACATGTTGAATATTATTTCCTGTATACAAAACTAAACTTGTTTAGCACATTTTTGCACTAAATTTAGAATACACAATTTCCATTAGTCTTTTTCCCTGTAGAACACAATGTTCGTTTCCAAACGTTCATTCGTCATCTTTTAGTTATCACAAATTATTGTTCCTCGTATTTATTATTGTTTCAAATATTAGCAGAGCTTAGAAGCCTTCCCCATATTTTATATCAATGCAATTATAATTCTAATTACATAATCACTTTGTCCAAACATTAGCTCACACTAGGGACAGGCTGCATTTTTGGTAACTTTTCTTTGTCGGTACATATGTCTTTACCTGAAGTAAGTCCACTTTCTACCCATGAAGTCTTTAAAAAAAATATATATCAAATGGTATTATGAATGCTACTCCATAAGGCAAAAAGTAGGACTATGGATTCGGGGGAGGTGTAGTTGATGCTGTATGAGAAGAGGCTGATGCACTAGCAACCACTGTCGGACTGGCCGGCTGTTGCAATGGCAGGAACGCTGAGCCCAAACTTGGTTTCAATTGGAATGATACACATGGCTTCGAACAATACTCTAGTTTGCTCAAGTCAATCATAGGTCGCCTAAACAAATAAATAATATTCGTATTTCATTATGATATTTTCTAATTAATCCTTAAAGATTATCGATTTGCATTTTTAATGCATTTTCAAAAGAATAGATCTCAACTTTAAATCACGCATTTCAAACATTAATAATTTAAGTCCATTGAGGACTTGTATGTTCCATTTTAGAAACCAAATATTTACCTCGTATCTTCTACAAATTTGAGGTTGACCTTCTCACAGCCATCAGGAGGTTCTCTTGCAAGGAACCTGTTAATATGAGGAGACGTTCCAAGACGACCTTCTCTATCCTGTTCAGGTGTTGATCCGCGGCTTCCACCTTCACAATAAAAATAAAAAAAAAAAATAAAAAAAAAAAAAAAAAAAAAAAAAAAAAAAAGAATAAAAAAAGAACACGAAATATTAAACTATAACATTATAAATTATAACATAATGACAAATAAAATAAATTTAATTCTCTATGCACTGTATACAACATTGTCAAAACATAGATATTACAATTGCATGCTCATTAAAATTGGGATGCATTTGTACACTAATGGTATTTTTGTGCTATTTTTATACATGATAAAATAAAAATACATGTCTGTCAAGAATTTAAAGAGAAACATAACAAAAGGAAGAACTAAATCAGTAACTAAAGCAATAACTAAATCATGTTCTATGAAATGATACATGGCACTGAGATATAAAAATTAAATTATGTATGATCTTTTAAAGAAGATTATGAAATAATATTATTGTGAATGATATTTGTGTATTACAATAAGTGTCTAAAAAGATATTTAATAGCTATAACTATAAGATACTTTCAAATGTCGATTGTTACATTGCCATGCATTTATGTGACGGATTTTTCTTGGTCATTTTGTAGAGATTAGCTGTATTTTAAATATGTGAAAGAAGCAATATTTTTTTTTATTGAAAATAATTGTTAAATATCACCGCTATTGTGAAATAATCAGACAAAATTAAGCAATGCAGTGAGATTCATATTGCTGAATCTTTATATTATCAAAATATAAACATTCTAACATCTTGCCAAAAGAAGAATTTACTTGTCACTTTAGAATTTATTAATTGCATTTTAATCCCTATTTGTGCTTTAAAATCCTTGAATTAAATGCTTACAATGTATATGTAGATATAATATAATGACAGATATGAGATGTGCACATCTGTAATACATCTTAAACAAACGCTCCCACATGCGTGCATATGCACTATGTGTAGAATAAATAATCAGTAATACATATATATATATATATATATATATATATATATATATATATATATATATATATTATATATATATATGTATATGTAAATACATACACAAAAACATATATACATAAATATATGTAGATACGCAGTATTTTAAGAACATGCTGTTAAAATTGAATAAAAAACAAAATTTATTCAAACCATAGCAATCATTCATTTCATCAAACTATAGCAATTTTATTTGGTATGCATTTACTAAGCATGTTTTAGAAACACTGAGTATTATGTATGTATGTATGTATGTATATATATATATATATATATATATATATATATATATATATATATATATATATTATATCATGTGTAGACAATGTTTTAAAATTTCATGTAACATTTGTAGGTTAAACACTTCTTTGCATTATTTTATATAAATCACATATTCCTACAAATGCATGTAATTTTTAAACAGATCGTGTGTGTATTATATATAATTATATAATTTTATATATATATCTATATATATATATATATTATATATATATATAATAATAATAATTTATTATCTCTAATAAATCATTATTAAATAATTATATATTATATTATTATATAAATACATCAAGTTCGAAATCCTGCTACAGAAAAAAACATTAAACAAATCAATTAGAAATCGCGTTAGTTTAATAAACAATCCGCAAACGTGCTCCAACCTTGGAAGAGATCACTAGGTGAACGGGAAGCATCCATAAGACCAGGTATCAGCGGAGACTCAGAATTCCTAGATGGAGGGCCTGCCTCAACAGGCAGACACACACCATAGTTAGTGTGTTATTTTTAGTTATGATACAAGTAAAATTAATTTAAAATCTAATTATTATAAATAACAAAATGTAAATCTTTGAACAAGATTTATACTTTTATAAAATTTTGCATGTAATTTTAGCTTCTAATAAGAAACTTTTCAACTTGTTTATAATTACAAATATTTTATTACAAAATTGTTCATAAATAACTAATAACTAAATTATTTTTTCTAATTTAGAATATTTATCTGATATAGATACTTGTAATTTCTAAGGTAGCAGAAAAGTGATACTAATAATTGTAAGTAAAAATGAAAGATATGTAGATGCAGAAGTAACAATGAGTTACCTGAAGAGTAAGAACTGGAAGGAAGATCAGTAGCTGGTGTTTGTGTGTTGACACTACGAGTCGCCCTTAACAAATCTGCCAAAGGTGCACGATGTCCTTCAGGTGTTATTTGCTCACGATATCGCGCATACTAATATGAAATAAAAAAAATGTATCTCTATTATATTTTAATAATCTAACTATGAAATTTATTTACACTATGAAATAATACAGTATCGTATAGATATTTTTATAAATATAATACCTTATCTTCTATTGGGTGATCTGGATCGTTAGTGTTTGTTGTAGATTTGAGTACTAATCCTTCTATTTCTTGATTCAGTCCTTCAATGGAAGAACGCATTGGAGGCCTCATTGGTTTTACGGGTATGCTCATAGGACTTGCTTTTGTATTCAAAGAAAATTGATTGTCTAAAAGAACGTGCATATATTGAACATATAATATATATATATATATATATATATATATACATATAATAAAAAATTAGTTGCTATAAATAATAAATTTGAAATAAAGCAATTTTACATACATATAGATGTCTGTGATGCAATGCTGGGCAAAAGCACAGTATGATCACCAGGAAGAGCAGGTGGTGGACCACCAGGCATTATAAGGCCAAAAGCTGCTGTTCTTTCCCTACTACTAGTACTCTCTTTATTTGTACGCTGTAATCTATAATAATATCAATTGAAATACATAACGCATTTTTTATATCAATTTCATAATATTCTATAGTATCAGTTTGAGCTATGTAAAGTATCAGGAATTGTAGATCATAGTTCAGAATAAATTATCAGTAAGTATAAGAATGTTTAATAGAAATTATTTCGAAAGGTATGTATATATACCTATGTCTGAAGTACTTTTCTAGCTTTTCGTCTGTGGTAGTTTGTTCTGTAGAATGACGGGTATGCATCTTCCTTGGTTCAATAGACCATTCGTCAGTCTAAAAAAAAGAATAAAAAAATAAAAAAAAAAAAAAAAAAATAAAAAAAAAAGGAAAAAGAAAAAAAAATTTATATACCAAAAAAAAAAAAAAATGGCACAGTTTAAAATATACGCAAAAGTAATTTTTGATAAGAAACAGTTAGTAAACATATGTAATAATTATAAGAAAAAACAGTAAGGAACATGAACAAAAAAAATATCTCTTATGCATTACAAGGAAATATTAAATATGCACAAACTGACATAACATCAAATAACAACTCTGAATAATATAAATTTGATAATATTAATAAGCCATGTAAATTTTGAAATTTAAGTGATTTATATACCTGTGTAGATTTATCAACTACCAGAAGGCTGGAATGCATATAGTATGTGTCGCGAGGCCATTGGCCTTTTAAGTATATTGTATCCAAAGATGCAGTTCTACGGATATTTTGGTTACCACTTAGACTTTCACTACAGCGACCACTTAATGTTTTCGATTTGGCTGTAAAAAAAATATTGACAAATGTAAAATAAATTCTGTTTCTGAAAAGTAAATGTATAATGAAAGATTTTTGTCATGCTGTTATAATAGAACATGTCAAGCATGAAACATACAAGTTTAAGCTTATATGTTACAATAAATGTACACTTGAACCGAGCTATAAAGTAAATATTCGGTTTATAGGATAGAGTATATAGAACTGTTTAAACGAATATGAATAAAATTATTAACATAGAAATGAAGTTAACATGGTACCGAACTAAATATTCATATTCGGTTACCCAGATAACAACTCTATTCCCTAAATATATCATAACAATATAAAGGTAGCAAATACAAAAAAATAACAATTTAAAGTTGCAACAGATGAATAGAAATAAATAGAATACAAAGCCAATTGTTGTGCTGCTATTAGTTTGATAAATAGAAGAAAACTGTGATGCTTTACTTATCATAGGCAATATATTGTAATGTTTCTATAATATATATACTTTTAACTTATATCTCAAGAAATATATTTTAATATATTTAATCATATCATTTATGATCATTGAAAATTTATAAATAAAATTGTGTTCAAACCACAAGATATATATTAAAGCAATAACAGATAATTAATTTTTTTATATATTAAATAAATTTCTATATGAAGATTGTTATTATATCCTTTGTTTCTTATAGTAATACAATTCTTTTTTTACATATTTTTTAATAGTACTCTCTTACAGAATCATACAATCACACAAAACAAAGAATTTGTATGAAAATGAGATATTACAAAATCTACATATACCTTTGTAGGAAAGTGAACCAGGGCTCCGTTGTCCTGAGGAAGCTGAAGTCTCTGGTGAAATACGTGTTCGCCATGTACTAGCATTTGGCGGAGACACAGTAGGACTGTTGCTGTTACTTTTTCTTAGACTGCTGCCTTGTCGACCCTGCCGTAGCAGTGAGCTTACAGGCAGGGTAGCTCGCATTGGTCCTTGCTTTGACGTAGAGCATGGCGAAGACTTTCGCATGCGTTGAGACCCTGACATTGTGTCATATAGGCTGATGCCACAGGATTACTCTACGTTTTTTAAATTTTCCTACTAGCAGTAGGTTATAAACATACGAAATATAGAGTGACTTATTGCTTGCCGGCAACAACGACAATGACGGCAATAGCAATTACGACGATGACGGCGACGACGAGAAACTGGCGGTAATAAGACTCGCGTCGTTTTTATAGTATTATTTCTTTTCTCATGGACGTAGTGTCGGCAGCAGAAGCAATAGTAATATGGTAGTAACTGTGATGGTGGTAGTAGTAGTAGTAGTAGTATTTGTAATAGTAGTATTACGTAGTGGCCGTGTTGTGGTGACGATAGTAGCAGTAATAATAATAGTAGTGGTAGAGGTAGTACAATAATAGTAGTGTTGATGGTAATATTAGTAACAGTAATAATTTTTGTAGTAGTCGTAGTAGTAATTGTTGGAGTAGTAGTAGCAGTAGTACTAATGTTGTGTAGTAGTAGCAGCAGTAGTAATAGGAGTAGTAGAGTAGTAGTAATGACACTGGTATTAGTGGTCTTTGATGTAGATGGTAGTGACAATAGTATTAGTAGTAGTAGTAGTAGTACTAGTGGTAGTGGTGGTGGTGGTGGTGGTGATGGTGCTGGTGGTGGTGGAGGTGGTGGTGGTGGTGGTGGTGGTGGTGGTAGTCGTAGTAGTAGTGGTGGTGGTTGTGGCGATGGTGGTGGTGGTAATAGTAGTAGTAGTGTGGTGGTGGTGGTGGTGCTGGTGGTGGTGGTAGTAGTAGTAATAGTAATAGTAGTAGTAGTAGTAGTAGTAGTAGTAGTAGTAGTAGTAGTAGTAGTAGGAGTAGTAGTACCAGTAGTAGCAGTAGTAGTAGTAGTAGTATTAGACGTAATACTAGCAACGGCGGCAAGAGTAGAAACGAAGAAAAGCTCACCACTAACGGTAATGGTGAAGAGGAATTTTCGAAGCACAACGGTAGCGGTAACGATGGTGCGACAACAATACCCAACGCGTCTTGTCTTGCTTGTCATTTACAATGTTCTGCTGCTAGCTTAGCACGCGCGTCACGTGACCGCCAATCCTGGCCGGTCATTGGTGCAGCGCGAACTCATGGAGCGTCGTATTACGCTCGAATATCGCGATGCGTTCCATTCACTAACACCGTAAGAGAGACACCGTAGGGCGAGCGTCCTATCGTCCTCTTTCTTCCACACTGCGCACCACTTTTCTCCTCTTTCTCTTCCTCCTTCCGGCGTCTTCTTCTCTTCCTCGCCCTCTCTTTTCCACTCACACTTATACACTTGTACTTGATCGCGTTGTTCACAGGGAAGAAGGCTCGACGCCGTCGTATCCTCGAAGATGCGCGTTCCGTTTTGCTCGGCTGTGTTCGCCTAAAGAGTGCCAGGATCGAAGAAAGTCCATTCGCGTAAAACCCTATCGACGCACACACACGTTCGGATTACTATTTTGTCTGCTGCACTTTTTTCCCAATGCGTTCTCTTCTTCCTCTATTTTCTTTTTGCTCGTCGTGCTTCGTCTTCTCTATATCGTCCCTATCGCGCGCGCGCACTCTAGCCCGCTTATCGAAATGAATGCATCGAGAATCCTTTTCCCCCGTTCAACGTTTCAGAGACTGATCGTGACTCGGTTCACGCACTTCCCGTACGGCGTACGAGCTGTACGCGCGTGTACAAGCGCGCACATACGAAAAGAGGAGGGAGCTCCGACCGATTCCTACTACCACTACGCGCGTGAGGAATCTCTCGAGCTGAAGTGACTGGCTGAAATTACATAGCCACTTCGATACGTCGAGCCGGAGAAAGACAGAGAGAGAAAGAGAGAGAGAAAGAGAAAGAGAAAGAGAGAGAGAGAGAGATAAAGAGAGAGAGATAGCTCGAGTCAAATCGAATCGAATCGAAGATTTCTCCCCGGCGTCTATACGCTACTATCTTTCTTACAACTTATACATACCAATAAAATTCATTAACTCCGATATTTCAATTATTTTTTCAATTTTATAAAACATTAAATAATCGAGTTGATGTTAACTTTACGTCTATATACATTGACACGAGAATAGAAACGATTTGAAAGAATCGAAATGTTCGAGATATCAAATGGCTGATTTTTTGACAGCCCACATAAAATTCTCATCCGTGACTGGCCGATTTTTTTCACTAGATCAATGAGAATACTCCGTTACGAGGAGGATGGCTTTTCAGTGAATGTAATCGGTTAACAACGCCATCTACAAAAAAATGCCTGCCAAAACACGTGCAACAAAATTTCCCGCCTATTATTTCCTATCTCTATTTGATATATTTGTTTTTTTATTATTACGCAATAATTATTACGTATGTATTTTATTTACTTATATACTAATTTTAAATCGATTCTATGATATAATATGTTTTAACGTTACTTCGAGAATGAAAGAGAATAAAGATCAACGAACTGCGTATCGAATTTCCAATATAAAATTGTATAATAGTTTAATTTTTAATTCTAATTTTTCAATTTGCATGAGAAAAATCTATATTCTTTTTTTTAGCAATATTTATGAAATAAAATTTTCTCATTTAAAAATCCTTCATATATAATTTGTATGCGTATTTATGTGTGTTGCGTATATATATCATTTCTTTCCAGCTTATTTAGTGTCGCCATCTATAGATGGCGTAGTTAAGATTTGTATGGGTTAATTGACCATCAATCACTTTGTATAGAATATTTTTATAATGATTTGTTTGTAAATATTTTCTACAATTTTGCATCGTTATTTTATATATATATATATGTATATATATACATATTCCATATTTAAGAAATTTACATATATATAACGAATATAAATTGTAAATATACACAAGTTAAAGAATTAAAAAAAAAAAGAAAACAATATTGAAATAATACTTTTTTTTTGTGTAATCATGGCACCTGCCGTTTATTAAAAACAAATTCGATAGTAATCATAATTACAAACAATAATAATGATAATATAATTGCAAAATACGTTCGCGCATTCTTGTCTTTATAGCATATTTTTCATCTTAAATCGATTAATTAACCCTCGGATTAGCAAAAGGTCGCTACAACTTCCGACAATTTTTTTCAAAAAAATAAATTATACGTAAATTCCGAAGAAGCAGCCATTCCATCACCACCACCTTCTGTCGTCCCCTTTATCCCTTTTTCATCCCTCTGTTCTGACTCTTTACACTGATAGATAATCCGAGGGTTAATTTTTATTTTTATTTTTATTTTTATTTACTTTTCGGATCTGTGTTCTATGTTACAGTCATTATCGCTTGATTTCAAAAATTAATTCTTATTTCTTTTCGAACAAATATTGACCGACAAAAAACGGTGTTTTCTTTTTACTTATTTTTTCTCTTTCCTTTCTTTTTTATTTTTTCTGTATTATTTTTATCGATGAGAAGATTCATACGTTTCATCACGAACCCGAGATTCCGTCGTACGAAAATCATTACAATTAATTAATATACACACGTACACGCATTTTTTGTATATATATATATATATATACATATATATATATACATATATATATATATATAATATGCTTATTAACTTATATATATTTACTTATCTATAATTATTTTGTTTTATACAGACGTTTTCTCGTGTACACACATAGAAGCATACACACACAACTCACGCACCACGGACGCACACACACACACACGCTTGCACGCACACACGCATGCACATGTGCAAGCACACGCACACATATACATACGCACACACTATTTAGGCGCACTCCACGAAAACGAATTCTTATTATGAGCGAATAAAAAATAATTGATACATGTATATGTATGTGTATATGTATATATTTATATGTGTGTGTGTATATATATATATGTGTAATATATATATATATATATGTAATATTTTTGTTCGTTTCGTTGGAGCGCTGAGATCTGCAGAATGTTTAGAACGATTTTTTATTGCTGATCTAACTGACTGAACGATTAGAGAAGTTTCAAACGAATTACCGAATCATTTAAACGGATGAGAATGATGTTTCTGATGATATATGTACATAAATATGTCCATATATGTATATATATATATATATATATATATATGTATGTATATATTTAATATATGTAGATAAATAGAATGAAGTATTTTAAATTCTTTTGAATTAATTCATCATTTGGGCAAAAAACATAGAATGATTTATTTTGTGGATTTTAGTCACGGTGGCCGAATCGGTATCTCGTTTGACTTCTAACTATGAAAATTACTATATATGTATGTATAATGACGGTGGTTAAAACGGACACATGTATTTCTTGGTTTCTTTCTTTTCT